TACTTTCTTTAGTCCAGTGACTTGGGTAATTGCTTCTGTAGTTAATTTCTTTGTAGGCGCCGTGAATAATACAGCCCTTTTTCACACAGAGAGTATTATTGGGTTTTATATTTTACCTCGACTGATGGAACGTCTGACAACGCTAATATAAAGACAAGAACTTGTATGTCTATTATGGAATATTCCTTAAATGATGTTTATTTCTTAAGAACACTGGCGTTTTTCACTTAGCAAATGAAACCATATCTGCTTATGTCTATATTTGACAGACTGAGGCATCTAGATCATTGGGACCTGTAGACTTGGACGTACAGCTACCTCGATCCATTAAGCCCATTATGTGGTCAAACTTCAACCTTCATTAATGGCAACTTCAGCATCGTCGGCTATATGGAGGTGGATATGGAGGTTCTGAAACCCACTTCCAACATCACTCTCCACATATCGGATATCATCACTAAAAACGACACCGTAAAAGTAGGTATGAGCTTCAATATACTATTGGGTAATTGGCCGCGTACAATTCATTCATTTCTTTTGCTTACTTTCTTTAGTCCAGTGACTTGGGTAATTGCTTTCTGTAGTTAATTTCTTTGTAGGCGCCGTGATAATGATACAGCCCTTTTTCATACAAAAAGTATTATTGGGTTTTAAATTTTACCTCGACTGATGGAACGTCTGACGGCGCTAACATAAAGACAAGAACTTTGTATGTCTATTATGGAATATTTCCTTAAATGATGTTTATTTCTTAAGAACACTGGCGTTTTCCACTTAGCAAATGAAACCATAACTGCTTATGTCTATATTTGACAGACTGAGGCATCTAGATCATTGGGACCTGTAGACTTGGACGTACAACTACCTCGATCCATTAAGCCGCTCCATTATGTGGTCAAACTTCAACCCTTCATCAATGGCAACTTCAGCATCGTCGGCTACATGGAGGTGGAGATGGAGGTTCTGGAACCCACTTCAACATCACTCTCCACATATCGGATATCATCACTAAAAACGACACCGTAAAAGTAGGGATGAGCTTCAATATAGTATTGGGTAATATTGATACATAACGTAGATGTAGCTCATTTGAACAAGACAATGTTTAACAACTGAAGCAGGTTTCTTCGTTCCACAAGCTTTGGGATAGTACACAGGAGTTTCAAAATTCTTTTCTGTTTCAGGTTTCAGATCAAGCAACATCCCGAGGCTTGAGGATCAAGAAACACGAGTATGACCATAGTCGTCACTTTTACATTGCCCATTTGAGGAAAGAGCTCCAGAAGGGAAAAAGGTACATCCTGTCCATGGAGTTCCTTGGTTATCTTAATAATAAGCTGCATGGCTTCTACAGAGCGACCTACAAGGATGTTTATGGTAACATCAGGTGAATATCCCTTTGTTGTCTGTAACTGTACCCATTTCATAGTATACTAAAGACTATTTGCATATTATCGCTATAATCTCCGTCCAGAAATGCGGCTGCGACCCAGTTCCAGCCCACCGCCGCCCGCAAGGCCTTCCCTTGCTTCGACGAGCCCGCACTGAAGGCAACCTTTGAAATTTCACCTCGCAAGGGAATCTTGGATGACGACCCTCTCCAACATGCCCATTGCCGAAACGGTGCCTGTGTGAGTAGCACTTCATTATAATACAAATGTTATTCTATACTTTAGATATATGTCTTAATACCTTCCAATGCATCTTTTGATTAAACTGAATTTGTAATCCAACAGTGAAGGACAGGAGGGATGGATGTGGGATCGTTACGAGAAGAGTGTCCCTATGTCCACTTACCTGGTTGCCTTCGTCGTGTCCGACTACGTTCATATCAACTCGACCGAGAATGACCGTGTAGATTTTCGAGGTAATGACATTTTCGAAGCTAGGTTCATCAGTGTTTAATTTGTGTTTCTGAGTGAGTGAGCAAGACAGATAGAAAGCGAATACCTTTCATGCATATGTTCTTGTGAAAAAACATAATTGTTGTCAGATTTATCACTCTACTGATATATTATAAAGAATTATAATTAGTTTTCATTAGGCATGACCGTGAGCATGTGCAAAAAGGCATGATCAGGGGTGACTGTGCTTAACATTCTAACCAGAAAAATTCTCTGGCAGTGTGGGCACGACAAGAGACCATAGATCAAGCAGAATATGCAAATGAGATAGGTCCCAAGATCTTGTGTTTCTTTGAAGATTATTTCAACCTATCTTATCCCCTCCCGAAGATGGACATGATTGCATTAACCGACCTCTCTTTTGGAGGTATGGAGAACTGGGGTCTAATAACTTTCAGGTAAGTCAGTGACATTAGCACAGAGGTCTGGTATTACAGCACCATCATGTATTGTTTTAAATATTATAACCCATTTTACTCAGGAGCCGGGATCAGTGATATATTTGTATACAGAGAAAGGGTCGAGAATAAGGATATAAGGGTTGTGTGTGAAGTTTAAGACAAAAAGAAGCCATAGTTGTAGAATTGGCTGAGCTCTGAAGGCTGTATATCGCTCTATTAAATAAATCTCATGTAACCTTATTGCTCACAGCATGCACAACCCTATTTCTAGCTATGACAGAGTTCTTACTATTAATTCTACTCTCACATTTAACAGAGAAAGCTTCTTGTTGTACGACCCACAAGTTTCAACCCCTGCCGATAAGGCAGTTATTGCAAATATTTTATCTCATGAGTTGGCTCACCAGTGGTTTGGCAATCTGGTGACGCCTAAGTGGTGGGACGACTTGTGGCTCAACGAAGGATTCGCTACTTATATAAGTTACCTTGGAGTAGATCATGTAAGTTACATGACTCATGATATTCATAATAAATGCAATAATATATAAAAGTAAATAAAACAAATGCAAAACATATACTTATTTTGCTTATGCTCAAAAGGTGGAACCAACGTGGAAGGCAATGGAAGAAATTGTCTTTGAAATAGTCCATCGTGTGTTCAATCTAGACAGCCTGGAGTCCTCCCACAGGATCAACATTCCCGCCTCAAACCCGGACGAAATATTCGAAGTCTTTGATGACATATCCTACAATAAAGGTCGGTATTTTTTCTTCATTGTTTTGGTTTTTATGGTATTTCTTTGTCCATCTCATTTCTTATCTATTATATTTTCTTTCTACAATGATCTAGGAGCGTCTATCATCCGGATGATGACCCACTACCTCACAGAGCCGACCTTTAGGAAGGGATTGAACAACTATCTAAAAGCTTTGTAAATATGCTAATATAAGTGTACCTTATGACATGTAATACTAATTGGGTGTAATAATGACTCAGCTTAAAGGTTTGAAATTTATATTGTGCTACTTTGCAATTCTCAAGTCTCGCTCTATATATTATGATCCTGAATATATGTCCATTTTCATTTAGCACATACAATAGTTCTGTGCAAGACGACCTGTGGAAGCATCTGACTCTAGCGGCTCACGAGGACGGCATTCTACCCCAGGACGTGACTGTGAAGATGATCATGGACACGTGGACGCTGCAGATGGGATACCCCGTCGTGAAGGTGACAAGGAGCCCCGACGGAACCTCTGCTACTTTGACCAGGTGAGTTTGTACTTAATGACTTGATGGAAGGGAGGAAACATATTCAGTAAACATATCATTTGGCCCTATATATACCCCGCCTTAATTTCCAGGAGCGGTTCCTCTTAGAAGGGAGCGCAAACTCTTCCAGCACCACGGATTACAAGTGGTGGGTGCCTCTGACCTTCACGACCCAGAGCGAGGCCAACTTCAGCCAGACTCAAGCCAGTTTATGGATGAAGGACTCTGAGGATCACGTCACCGTCTCTTCTCTTCCCCCGAAGGACCAGTGGGTCATCTCAACCTGCAGCAGGCGGCCTACTACCGAGTCAACTACGACGACCACAACTGGAATCTTATCATCCAGCAGCTGAAGAAGGACCACCAGGTTATTTGCCCCATCAACAGAGGGCAGATTGTCGATGATGCCATGAACCTTGCTAGGGCTGGTACAGTAATCTTTATCTTTTTAATAGTATTTCTTTCTTCTACTAAGGAATTATATAGCTGTTTTCTATGCATATATGGATATTCAAGAGTTACTATCATTTTCTTGTCTGTATTACTCAAGAACGTCATATTTACATACACTAATGTACAGGGAGTGAACGTGTATTTTGATGAGTTAAAATATATGCGTGTTCCAAAAGTAAATGAATCATTTTATGATTTCGTAATTTTTGATTAGCAAAAATGGATACCTTCCATTCAGGTCATCTCAGCTACAAGCTCGCCCTGGACGTTTTACTGTATCTGCGAAATGAAGGAGAATATCTGCCTTGGGCTACAGGCGCCAGGAAATTCGTTTACATAGAGAGTATGTTCAGACGCAGAAGTGGATTCGGCGCTCTCAAGGTGAAAAGGAATGAAACCGCAACCGATATGCCGAATTGTTTGATCATTTATTTACCAGAATATAAATGTATATATACATATATGTATGTAATATCTATATCTATCTATATATATAATATATATATGTATATATGTATATATGTATATATTTATGTATATGTATACACATACATACGCGTATATGAACATTCTTTTCTTTCCAGCGTTACCTCCTGGATTTGGTGTTGCCGCTCTACGAGTCCGTTGGGTTCGACAACAACATCGAGGACTCTTTCTTGGAGCAAAAAAAGAGGAAAATAGCCGTGACATGGGCTTGCAGACTGGGCCACAAGGACTGCCTCAGAAAGCGCTCACTCTTTCTACAGGCACTGGATGTCACGAGGTCCCGGACAATTTTCTCGAGTCGGTAGTCTTCTCTTCTGCTCTCAGTCTCTAGCGCTCTCTCTCTCTCTGCGCGTGTGCGTTTGTCTCCGTTATGGGGACAGTGTCTACTACACACTTTTTCTGGCATTACAGTTATGATTTGGATGTCTTTTATGATCTCGTCGTATTATCATTGTCTCTATAACGTTACCTCATTAGCTGGTT